AAAAAAAGTAAAAGGAGCTCTAGTGGCATAGTACCTAAGGCATTTGACTGCTAAACAGAAGGTTGGTGGTTCAAACCCACTAGCCACTCCACAAAAGGAAGACCAGGCAATCAACTTCCATAAAGGTTTACCACCTGGGAAACCCAAAGGGGGTCGCTATGAGTACAATTATAGTACTGTGATACCAGGGTTCCTTAGAAGAGGTATATACTTGCTTAAAGAAGAGCTGCTAGAAATTGGATGGGGACTCCACACCAGGTTTTTTCATGACTCAAACACAAAAACCTCATTTTCTGCTATGCCTCTTAAACAGAGACACAGGAGACTACTAGGTAAACATGACACATTTTCCTAAAGCATCAACTTTACTTGGCAGAATGGGGGAAAAAAGGGAAGGGTTTGCAAATTATTACTAATTAAGAATTTAAAACATAAAGTTTTCCCCTCAGTACTCTTATCAATTCACACTCTCCTTTGTCCTTGGAGTACCTAGATGAAAAAGTTAGAAAAACAGTACCATGCTACTCTCCATCTTCTGCAGCACTGCAAAGATTATCAAGGGAGGAGGAGCAGGGCAGAAGAGCACACAGACTGCACTATACTCAGAGAAGCTTGTCCATGCATCAAACAAAGCAAGAAATAAACAACTTAGGAAATATGATTTCTATAGACATAAGCGGCATCATTAATAAACTAAAATTATTCAGGTGTGCACAAAATCACTTAAAAAAACAAAGCCAACATAGCATCTTTCTTACAACTTTAGAAAAACAATGAAGGCACAACTTGTGTACATGTGGTTAGTTTTCTATGCAAGACTTGAAAGTGGTCAATATAAAAGACTTGAAAGTGGTCAATATAAAATGTCCATTTTTAATACAACCTTGGTTAAAATGTCTAAATGTGTATTACAGAATCAATACAAGTGATTGATATACTATATCAATATATTTACATATAAATATTTTCATTTAAAAATAAAAGCATAAAGCAATGCCTACAGCCAGCAAACCAGGGTCTGCCATATCAGACTGCAATAGGAAGCGGGGAATCTGCCTTGGCTCTTTGAATAATAAATATAATAAAAAAATGCAAAATACCTATCATAATACTGGCGATCCACCACTTCTCAAGTGGCTCTTGCTTCTGCTCTCATTAGACATTTTCTTTATCAACTAAAAATTGGTGTAATCCTAGCAAAATTTTTCTGACCTTCCATTTTCCCCAAGAAAGGGTTTAGTGTAAGATCACGTGTTTTAGAAACAAGCAGGCATGTGCTCTACCACCTACTAGCATTGTGATCTTGGAGAAATTATTCATCCTCTTTATGTCTCAATTTCCTCACCTATAACATAAGGATAATTATACCTGCCTTTCAGAGTCCCTCTATGAGTTAAATAAATTAAACTATAAATGCATTATATTTAGTAGCCATTAAAAAATTAGCTCCTCTCATTTCATTAAACTATACAATAAAAAGCTCTCCATTCTCCATCCCTAGTATCACACAAACTACATAGGTGATTATCAGATAGCAACAGAGAGAGAAAAAGATACCTTTTACACTTTATTCAGCAAAACATAATCTTAATTATAAGGACACATTCAATCAGGCAGTCAATTATTTAGCCTTTGAAGTATTTTATGCCCTATGTTAACGGAGATACAAGAGATTCATTCGGTCACTGTCCTCATACAGCTTATTCTACTGGGGGTGGGAGAATTAAAAATTAACTACAATAATACACATTTGTTGACAATTTAAGAGTGCAGTTAACAAATAATAGTTCATTTAATCCTTGGATCTGACTCACAGCGACTCCTTCTTGAGTTTCCGAGGCAGTATCACTACAGAAGTAGATTGCCCAACCTTCCTTCCAATGAGTGGCTGGTGGGTTTGAACTGCCAGCCTTCTGGTTAGCAG